TGTGTGCATTTGGCAGGAAACGGGATCGTCAGCGAGGCGAGATCAGCGAGGCGAGGAAGCGAGGTGTTTTGGCGGGGAGAGATGAGCTGGCGGGCTGCCGAGTCGAGGCGCGGCGCTCTCGGGGTGGCGAAGTGAAGAGGTGAGCAGCGAAGAGCGGGGTGGCGAGGCGCGGTGCGGCGTTGAAGCGAAGCACAGAGTTAAGTTGCGAGGTGGCGTGGCGAGGTGCGGTTGACGGAGCGAGGCACGGCGATGAAGCGGGGACCTCCGGCGAGCGGCGTGGCTGCGGCGGCGATCGATGCTCGGTGCGGCTTGGTCTCCTCCGGGTCTGTTCAAGAAGGGCGGAATCCCACCTTCGTCGCCAGTGAAAAGTACTCGGAAACGTAGAGTGATTCAGCAAGGTACTTTATTAGATCAAGAACAAGACAGGGAACCCCGGCACGCAGGCCGGTATATATGCCCAGAACCCACCACCAAAACACACCCCCTAGTGACCCTATAGGTTATTTACAGTGGCCGAGAGTCTCATAGGCTCTTGGCCGCGGACCTTGCCCTCTGGTTGGTGCGGGCTAGGATCCGCTCTGCTATTGTTCTCCCGGAACGAAGCTTGGGACTTGTGCGCGACCGCATGGCCCAACGGTTGCACACGTGGCAATATGGATACATTACAGGATCTCAGTGGGGATACCCCAAAATAAAATTAGGAAGGAAGCGAGTGTGAGAGAGTGATTGTCTTTCCACCATTAAACTGCCTGTCAAGGAAAACTGGACCTCACGTTCAATTCTTTCTTCTTGCATTAATACATTGGTTCAGGCTTCATATCAAAACTTAGGCCTGAAACATGGGGGGAAGAGATAGAAGGAGAAGAAGGAGAAGAAGGAGAAGAAGAAGAGGAGGAGGAGGAGGAGGAGGAGGAGGAGATTGGATTTATACCCCGCCCTTCACTACCCAAAGGAGTCTCAGAGCAGCTTACAAACTCCTTTCTCTTCCCCTCCCCACAACAGACCCCCTGGGAGGTAGGTGGGGCTGAGAGAGCTCTGATAGAAACTACTCTTTTTTCAAGAACAGCTCTTATCAGAACTATGGCTTGCCCAAGGTCATCCAGCAGGTGCAAGTGGAGGAATGTGGAATCAAACCCGGTTCTCCCAGATTAGAGTCCACACACTTAACCACTACGCCAGTACACCAAACATCTGGGGTTTGTCATGCGAAAGTTGGCAAGCCTGACTTGGTGCCTTTAAATAATAGTGACAAGGAGCCACACCATTTGGTCACCCAGAAGGGTTGTGGGTGGCACCAACACACACCTCACTATTTCTTCTATGCTTGTTTTACACTTCAGTGAGGAAGCATCATGTCATAAAATGTTCATTTTCTGAGCCATTTGTTGTCACAGTTTCATGTCAGAAAACTTCAAGGGACTGAATTTTGTATTGGCTTGAGGGCCCCAGCCTATGTGAATTTTAGATTTTAAGAAGTTTAGCTTTCCTATTGTTAGTGTTAGTTGGAGCAAGCCAGCTCCATCTCTCCTGGAGGCAATGGGCTAACGCTGTCATGGGTTAGACATCGGCCTGGCACACAAAGAGACTTGGAAAGATGCCTGACTTTACCCAAGCAGGGTAACCTATGGTAACTATAACTTAGGGTATAATGTGTAGCTAGAACTTATGTAGCTTTCTTTTCTTTTCTTTTTTCCTGCTCATGGCTTTGTTCTTTGGGAAATATTCTTGTACTCTTTAATAAAAAAGTATACTTTGACTACATCTGGTTGTTCTGTACTTCAGAAACTTCAATCTAATTCCAGTACCTTAGACTTAAAGTGTCCACCTACTGGTTAATTATTAGAGGAAACTCATTCTGCAAGTGGCCAACCTTGCAGGGTTGGCTTTCTTAGTTAATTCCCAATAAGGTTAGACGCTTGCCCCTTGGCTTCTGAATATGTGGGTAGTTCAAGGGGCTGGTGGCAGACTACTGTACTGGTGAATATATGGACATATACCCCAGGGTTTTGTAATTTTGAGCTCTGCCCAATGATAACAATGATCCCCTGCATTCGGAATTCTTGACACTGCCCACATTCCTCCAATCATTAAACTGTTACCCAAAATAAAATTAGGAAGAAATAGAGCGAGAGATTGGTTATAAAGACAATTTTATTGTATACAAAATAAAAGTGTGAAGAACCTACATTGAGCACCTGAGAACTAATTCCCTAAGCAATCACACACACACACACACACCAGCAAGAGGCTGCACTTGTAGAAAGAAAAGGGGAGGAAACTGGGAAGTTTTAGGAAAGGGGCATACAACCTGAAATCCTGGGCTTGAGGTCTGGAGTGGTCCAAGGAGCAGTTAGAGGAAGGGGGAGAAATAGGATCCTGCAACACAGTTGCAGGGTTGGTCAGGTAGTGGGAAAACCTGGCACACTTTTCACTGACCTGGGATGGTCTTTTTATTCAGAAGAGTCCCATAGCTGGACATGGGAACCCACTTTCCCAGGAACATGTTTGGTTCAGGATAAAAAAGTTTGAATCCTATTGGCTGGCTTAAAGTTAACTGCTGTCAAACTTTGGTGTGGGAAAGTGAGGAAAATATCTCAGTCAGGTCATTGTGAGCGAAATCTGCATGGGCACAAAGAGCCTAGGTGAGACAACATGATTAACAACACATACGTTAATAAAGCTGAAGCGAGCCAGATCTGCATTGTCACAAAAGTCTGGGTGAGTCAGGATAGCTCCCGAAACAGGACAGAGCATAAATGAATGACCTGAGTGCCCTTCGTAATTGAGTAAAAAATGGAAAAAGAGGAACTGGGCATTGGTTAATGAAATAGCAACTTCCATTCTAAGTCCCCAGAAGTCAATGGGCTTAGAAGATGTAAGTCTGTTTTGGATTGCACAGACAGTGAAACAGTGGTCTGAATCAGTACAAAGCAGCTTCATAACCTTGGCGATCAACATGACCTGCATTTGTGCAGCACCTTAAACAAGGCCCCTTTGACATCCTTGTTCTTCAGGCTGTATATTATGGGATTGAACAAGGGAATTACTATGCTATAGAAGAGAGAGATCGTTTTGTCCTGACCAGGGCTGTGGCTAGACTCAGGTCTCATGTACATAAATATGGCACTGCCATAGAAAAGCACCACCACAGATGCATGAGAGGCACACGTCGAGAAAGCTTTGCACCGACCTTGTGTAGATTGGATTTTTAAGATGGCTGTCAGTATGCGGGCGTAACTGATCGTGATAAAGGAGATGGGTGTGACCAAGGTGACAATGCATCCAAATGAAGTGAGCTTTTCAACAATGTCAGTGTTGGCACATGCCAGCTTCAACAGTGCAGGCATTTCGCAGAAGTGATCAATCAAATTGGAGGCACAGAATGGCAACCGCCAAGTGAGGACCGCATGTGCCACTGGCAATAAAAGACCACTGGTCCAGGTTGCCGCAGCCAGTTTGATGCACACCTTCTTGTTCATAAGAAATGTATAATGCAGGGGGTGGCATATGGCAGCATACCTATCGTATGCCATCACTGCAAGGAGAATACATTCAGTGGTGGCCAAGGCTAGGAACGTATACATCTGTACTGCACAACCAACTAGTGAGATGGGCTTGTTAGGACTCAGAAGGTTGGCCAGCATCTGGGGAACGGTGCTGGAAGTGTAACAGATGTCCACACAGGAGAGGTGGCTCAAGAAGAAATACATGGGGGTGTGGAGTCGAGAGTCCAGCCAGATAAGCACCAGTATGATCACGTTGCCTGCCAGCGTGATGGTATAGAACATAAAGAATAGCCCAAAAAGAATGAGACGGATCTTGAAGTTCCTTGAGAGACCAAGGAAAAGGAATTCTGTCACTGATGTTTGGTTCCACATAATGGGTGCTGAGTTTTTTCCACATCTGATTTTTTAAGAAAAAACACTGGTTTCTTCCATTGCTGTAAAAATGGAAGTAATTTAAATACATGACATGTCACCTGTATAGGTTAGGATTCAATAAACATACACAAGATTCTTAATGTATCATAAAATGTGCATATCAGAAAATGTTTTCTTTGACCCACATTTATTTTATTTTATTTTTATATAAAGTCCCTTGAGATAGACTTACCCAGGGTGGAGAAAGGCAAATAGTGCACTATGTTCACATTAGGGTGTGCATTCAGCATAAACTGAGCCAAAAAATACCTTACTGTATAGCTGAGCCTGAATAAAGCCAATATTTTTGGCTTTTATTTGGATATATTCAGCTATACCGAATGTGCAGTGGGAGCTGAGAGCTCTGTACTGCCTTCGCTAGGGCTGGCTTCTCTTGCAGCTCAGAGCTACTTTAGGATTGACTGGGGTGGTGGGAGGAGAAACCCTTCCAGCCATGTCTGAGAAACCTCACAGCCACATGCAGATCCTGGGGCCAGCTTCTCCTGCAGCTCGGTTTAAACCATGTTGCAGGAGAAGCCAAGCCAACCCCAGGCTGGTTATTTGTTAGTATTTTTCTTCTCAGGTCTATTGGACCCCCCCCAAAATTTGGAATTTCTGAAAAATCCCATATCCGAATACCATACAATTCCCAAGCAAATGGCTTGCATTTTATCATTCTGCTCAGCTGGGGTTGAAGCCTTTCAAGGGTGGTGGAAAGCTCCTTAGACTTAGCAGAATGATAGCATATGAGCCACAATCTGCTGGAAAGGAAGGTTTTCAAAACAGTATTTGACAAATTTAGATTCCACTACAATTTTTCTAAGCAATGGATTTGTAAAGGTTTGATAGCAGTATTACAAAATGGATTTAAAAATGGATTTGACCATTTAGTGAAAAAGCACTCCGGCTTACAACTTGGGAATTTAATATCCAAGAATATCACAATTAACAATATTGATAGGAGATACCAAGACTTTCAACCAGTTTCTTAACACCTGTGTATGCATTTATGGTATGGCTATCTATGGAAGACTGTGCACTGTCCTAGTCAATGTAAGAATATTTGTACCACTGTAAAAGGTGCAGAAAAAGGCAACCAAAATGATCAAGGAGCTGGAGCACCTTCCCTATGAGGAAAGAGTAGGGATATGGGACTTTTTTAGATTATAGAAAAGATGTTAGAGTCCTATAAAATTATAAACAGGATGGAGAAAGTGAGAAGAGGGAACCTTATGTCTCTGTCCCATGATAATAGAACTTGTGGGCACCCAGGAAAGTTGATGGGCAGCAGATTCAGAATAGACAAACAAATGAAATAAGTATTTCTTGATTCAAAGTGTGATTGTTTTAACTACTGGCATATGTTGCCCACTTGTGAGCTGCCCTGAGCCCGCTTGTAGGGAGGGCGGGCTATAAGTTTGAATAAATAAATTGCCTTGTGGAATCCCGCACCACAGCAGTGATGGCCATAATTTTGTTGGCTTTAAAAGAGATTATGTATCATCATGGAAAATAGCTCCATTGATGGCTACTGAGAAGCTTTGACCTCTGAAACCTGTTTACAGGCTCAGAATGGGACATCTGGTTGGCTACTGGATGCTCAGTTAGATGGACTGTGTATCTGATCCAGCACAGATACTCTTGTGTTCAACATCAAAAACAGGATAAGATTCAGAATGAAAAAAAGGAGTTTTAACTACCGACATGGAAGCTTCCCTGTTAACTACATGGTTATAGAATCTATAGAAGATTGTAGAATAGGAGTTGGTGCTCAGTTATAACTAAAGTCGCAAGATTTGATCAGGATTTTCAAAGCCTTCCTATTAACCCTGTTTTGGTCTGTTCATTGTATCATTAGCTTCCATTGTCTATTCCCCCACCCCACCCCCAGGTCTACGTTGTGCACAAACTGCGGCTTAAAGTTGTATCATCAGGAAATTTTATGCCCAGATCTCCATGTTCTGCCATGCCCATTGGAAACCTTTCTGTTTTCTCTGCATTTACAGCCACTGATAGGTTGTGATAATAAATATTACATATTTATGCATTTAAATAAAAGATGCTGATAACTGGTTACATTACTTGTCTTAGTCAACTGGTGGCCCTGAAGTTCTTTGGTCTGTCATCAAATCTCACAGTCTTCAGTTCTCTTCTAAATACAGCATTGTGGGTGCTCCTGCAATATATATTCAATACTGAACATTTCACTACAATTAACCTCCCTCAGTGGTTTGCAATCTCATCCATGCAATCAGCCCAAAATGTTGCAGTGGAACTGACAAGTCATTTCAACCCCCCCCCCCCCATGCAATCTGATGCAGGGTTACCTCTATAAGTAGGGACTTTTTAGATTAGCAATTTTTAGATGAGCAATTCTGCAATTTTTTAGGTGAGCAATTCTGCATAGGATGGCACTAGAAGCCCCTTTTCCAGAATCCTAAATGAGAGGAAATTTTTGATCGAGACAGTCAGCATGATGTGGTGCTAATAGTGTCAGACTACGACCTCAGATTTGAATCCCTACTCTGTCGTGGAAGCTGGCTGGGTTACCTTGGGCCAGTCACACACTCTCAGCCTAATCTACCTCAAAGGGTCATTGTGAGGATCCAACAGAAGAGTGGAGAAAAAGTGGAAGCTCCTTTGGGTCCCTGTTGAGGAGAAAAATGGGGGATAAGTCAAGTAAATAAATAAATAAATGAAAATGCTTTATAGGTTGTTTCTAGCTTTAACCCTTCCTTTGTTGTTGTTTAGACACATCTGTCTGTTGCACATATTATCCTGCCGTCACTACGTTATTCCTGCCATGTTTTCTGCTTTGTGTCTGAACTCTGTATCATATCTAATATGTGAGAGTCATTCAGATTTCTGTAACCCTGGTCCAAACCCGCTGCCTCTTAGATGTCCCATCCTATTGTTTTTGTGTCGATTTACACTGTGTAATCTGCTTTGTGTCTCAGGGAGAAAGGCTGGCTATACCGTCAATACAAAAAATAAATGATGGCGAATGATGACTCTCTTTTTAAAGCAAGACTTCAAAGTATCATCTCCCGGTTGTTTTATAAAATGCAAGAATAAAAAATATATACATGGATCTAAATTTTGGGATCATAATTTACTGTCATATATTGTTCATTTTTTTTTGTAAAAATGACAGCTCTTCAGTAAATAAAAACTTACCTGCTGGTGTTGGTATCATCGTAAGCGCGATTTCCATTTCGACCTGTTGCAGAGCACTTCAGAGAAATATATCCTCATCAGGTGCCTGGGGACAAGGAAATGCCTTCTGTCCACTGTGAAGTTTGTATCAGTTCAAAGTGTGACTGTAGTTCAGTGGAAACACACAGCTTTGCAAGTCATAAGATTTCGTCCGTTGCTTCTCTGTTTAAGAGGGATTCTAAGCAAAGCTGTGAAAGCCCTCTGCTAATTAGAGTAAACATAAGGGAGCAGCACAGGCTGACTGAGTATAAGGCAGTTTTGTGTATGTCCAGGGAGAGGAAGCAATAATATCCAGGAATGATCCACCTGCTCCGAAACCTTAAGTCTCAATATGGTTGCCAGTCTCCAGGTGGGGCCAGGAATTCTCCCAGAATCTCCAACTGATATCCAGACAACAAAGATTAGTTTCCCTGAAGAAAACAGCTACTTTGAAGGGTGGACTCTATGGCATTGAGCCCTGACAAGGTCCCTCCCCTCACCCAACCCCGCCACCCCTCACCCAACCCTGCCACCCAGGAATTTCCCAAAATGGAGCTAGCAACCCTAAGTCTCAAAGGAGTTGGCAGCAGTCCTCTGTTTGGTGTAGTTGTTAAGTGTGCGGACTCTAATCTGGGAGAACCGGGTTTGATTCCCCACTCCTCCACTTGCACCTGCTGATGTGACCTTGGGTCAGTCACAAGCTCTGGCACAGCTGTCCTTGAAAAAGAGCCGTTTGTGTCAGAGTTCTCTCAGCCCCACCCACCTCACAGGGTGTCTGTTGTGGGGAGGGGAAGGGAAAGGAGTTTGTAAGCCGCTCTGAGACTCCAAGTGAAGGGTGGGGTATAAATCCAATCTCTTCCTCTTCCTCTTCCTCTTCCTCTTCCTCTTCCTCTTCCTCTTCCTCCTCCTCCTCCTCTTCTTCTTCTTCTTCTTCTTCTTCTTCTTCTTCTTCTTCTTCTTCTTCTTCTTCTTCTTCTTCTTCTTCTTCTTCTGTAAGGCGTACACAGTAGATTTTAGTAACTGATTCTTCTACGGGCTTTTCTCCAGTCATATTTATTTATATTTATTTTAAATGCTTATATCCCAAGCAGACCCCTATGTCACCTAGAGTTGTGGACTGAGTTGGTTCTCTCTCCCATAAGACTTTGCATGGTTAGCTATTGTTATATGCCTCTTAGTCCTGACAATGCCCTCTGTTCTGACAGTGCCCTCTGCTCTACATTTCTGAGTTTCAGCCTTGAGCCATTAAATCTTACATAAAGGAATATGTGGCTCCAGGACCCTGCCTTGACATGGGGAGGGTGTTGGGGGTTCCTATAATCAGAGTGCATCTGGTCAGTGAGGGGAAGGGTTTGGGTTCTGTCAGGTCCATCCCATTTCTTGTTGGGCAGCTATTCTGGATTCTAAAGACACATTAAGATCAGTGTTTGCCATTGCTCGGGGCTCTCTGCCAACACCTCCGTTTTTAGGTCTGGGTAGATGGGTGGAAGGCGTACTCCTAAATAAGATATAAGTGCACTCTGTTTATAAGTATTGGTTTGTCTCCTTCAGTACGATGAATTCTGAAATTGCTACTTGCTTGAAAATTTTTGCATTGTGGTCTTATCTTTCAAGAAATGATAGATGCTTTGGAACAGTTTCTCTCTGAAACGACAGGGTCCCTTCCAGTTTCCACCCCCACCCCCATCGAGCCGGGTGGGAAGTTTCCCCCAACAGACGGCTGTTGTCCAAGGCTGATGGGACAAATATGGGTGGGCAGCATT